AAAATACCAGTCTTGAAGAAAATAATTTAAAAGAAATTTATATGTCTTTGTGACGACAATACAAATTCTAACTTTAGAGAAACTGACAGATGTAGAGAAAATAGCAAAAAAACATTATTTTCTCTACATCTGTCAGCTCAACCAAAGTAAAACTGAAACGAGACCTTAACCATTGTTTAATTGGAGTCGGATGTGCAGGGCATATTATCCATAACACTGTAAGAACATCAGCTGATGTTTTGTTAGTTGATATAGAAATGATTATAATGGTAGAGTAGAAACATTGAAAAATTCCTACAACTTTGTAGAAAAGAATTTTTCAAATAGATAAATAAATAAAATCTGAAAGCTTTCAGATTACAGTAAGTGCTTCACAAACAAGATGGTTAGCATTACTTCTCGCCACTGAAAGGGTACTCCAAATGTTTTATCACTGAAGGTTTATTTTCAATCTGAAGAAAAGTGTCCGATGCTTATATTAAAATTCTCTGAAAATCCAGTGGCAGAAGCTTATCTACATTTTCTTGTCATTCAGGCTAAAATGCATCTGTATTCGATGCAATTGCTTCAAAGGATACTCTGAAAGCTTTATTATCGCACATAATAGAGGATAACTTTTTTTTTTTTTCATTAGATGGAAACGCACAACTGGATCATATTAAATGAAATCCCTTCTTGAAGTCAAGCTGAAACAGCCTTTTCATTAATTAATAAAATGATATTAAGTCATAAATTATTGGAAACTGATGTATATGAGGAGCATATTTACTTTAAGAGAAATGTATGGCTACTTCATTAAAATAATTTAGAAGGGTTACAAATTTATTACTTTAAAAAAATGAATACTACATTTTGATTTATTCTTTTTTTATTAAAAATATATCACTATTAAAAAATAACACAAATTATTTATTTGGAGGTAGTATGTAACTTAATATATATATTGACCTACATACTATCTCCACCACAATAATAATAATAATTTATTTGTAAAAAAAAATATATATATATATATATATATATATATTTGGGTTCACACCACAGACATTTAATGAATAATGATAATAGAATAGCTACAGATTTGAATTAAAATAACAGTACCATTGCGCGTTCTCGTGCTTGTTAGATAAATACAGTTTTGCATGACTTTAAGTATTTAAAATAGCTACACAGCACCTACTCGTGCTTGTTATATTAATAGAGTTCGTTTGTTACCACCTTCGTGTGGAATTACCATCTTTCACTTCGCTCTCGGCGCACACGTGACGCCCTCTGTTGGCTGTGCTGAACTAACTGATACCACATACATATATACAGTGTCCTGAATTTTGAAATCTGGTCACCGTAATAAAAAAGCATTTTTTGTAGAGCAATGTGGGTTTAAAAATTAAAAGTGCAGGCAGAAAAACAAGAAATGCTAAAGAAATGAAAAAAAAAAGCTCTTGATTTTAAATATTACAGCAAGTGCTTAAATTTGCCACCACCAACATCAATACAGGCCTAGTAGCTTCTAGCAAGTCATTGGCATAACCTTTCAAAGATGAACAGTTTCAACAGTTGAAGTTTCATGAACAGTTGCAGCAACGAATAAGTTTTGTAATGAGGTCCTTATATTATAGAGTTTCTTAGATGAATGCCTTGATATGTCCCCATAAGAAAAAATTAATACTTCATAAATTTGGTGAACATGTTGGCCAAGCAACTTTTCCACCTTGTTCAATCTATCAAAAGCCAAAGATGGCATTGAAGCTGCACACATTACAGAAATGGTCTGGAGTTACATCATGCTGAAATTACATGGCCTTTCAAACAGCAGCCGGAACACTTTCCAAGTAATTCTGGTAATACCTCTTCCAGAAAGATTTGATACATCATGCTGTTAAGTCATTGTGGTAGCAATTATAGGCCAATAAGGAAATTTTTCACAGTACCTGCTCACAAATTAACAGAGAATCGCTTCTAGATAACATGCAGTGTAGCTTGTGGTTATAAGTGGCCCACACACAGGAATTGCACAAATTTAAAACTCTGTCTCGTGTAAAAGAGGCCTCAATTGTGAAATGCAAGTTTGCAGAGAAGTTTCGGACATAATGTTGCAAAAATCAACAATAGAAATCCATATATCGAGGATAATCAGCTGCAATCAGGTTGCATTCTCTGTATGTGGTATGGAAAAAGTCTTTCCTCATGTAAAATTTTCCATAGGGTGCTTTTACTCACGCCTGTAGTTTGTGCACTTGATCTTGTACTAGTGCTTGAATTATCTTCACCCCCTCTCAGAATACGTTCTTCTATTTCTAGAACTCGTATATGTCTCGAACGATTGGCATCCAATGACATGAATTGAACCATTCTTACAAAGCTAGCAAAGTAAACAGTAAAAAATTTTGCTCATAGAGGATAAATTACGCCATCACACACAAAATTCTATAACAGCAAAGAATTTTTTAAGCTTGCATAATGCCATTCAAACTCAATAAAATTGTTTTACAGACAATTTGATAATTCAAACTAAATAAACTTCCATGTTCAATATTTTTCTTTCCGAAAATTCATCTTGTCACTAAACTTGTATATGATTTGCTTCAAAAAACTTTTACAAAAATACATACAGCCTAACTGCCCTCAAATGGCCACAACATACCCCAATCACTGAATAGACCCTTACAGGGCTTTATCACAGTTAATAGTTGAATATTTCAGCACTTACTGTAATATGTTGATAAGAGCTTTTTTTCGTTTTCTCAGCATTTTCACCTACACTTTTCATTTATGAACCCACATTGCTATACAAAGAATGCTTCTTTATAATTTTACCTACCCTTAAATTTTGGCCCATTAATTCACAGATACTCTGCATGCAAGCTACACAGATAGCTTGATAGCAGATACTTGAGTTGGAAGTGAAAGCACTTTTAAATAAAACTGAGACACTAAAGAGGAATATACTTTACAAATATAAATATTTAACTAGTTTAGCTCTTAATTACCAGCTAAAAGTTTTATGTGTAAATAAATTAATTTGGCACCAAAAGTCACAATTTACATCTTACGAGTTTATTCACTTTAGTAAATTTCTAATAACTCCAATGGTTGGACATAACAATCTGTTAGCTCCATTTTTTTTTTTTTTTTTTTTAATGGTTTATCTGATACTTTCTGGTAAACTGTGTTAAACTGGCATGCTAACATGAGATAAATAAGAGGAGAGGATCACTTTGCCTGCAAGAGGTGAAACATACAGTTTCAAAAGAGCAAACTATCTTTTTAATCAATGTCAATTCTAACATTGTTGTTGGATAATTTGATTTTGAATTGTTTTCTACAGTAATCTTTTTGTTATTCAGAGGGATCTCTTAACAGCCCAATAACATTTTACTCGGCAGCTTTAAATAAAAATTATTTAACCTTCTCACCAGCAAAGGTTTCCACTAAGCAAGCACAAATTTCCCAAAACTATCATAAGAAAGAATTATTTTATTGATTTTAATGTCAAAATGCCTCTGGTACTTCATACACGGATTTATGTATTTTTAATATATAGCCTTAATTTCTCAGACATATTTTATTATACATTCTTATAGACATCACAAAAGTAATCTACGCTGTTTATATATATATATATATGTATGTTAATGATAGCACTCACCTAATTTTGGTGACCAGTATACATTGACTTCTTTTGAAGATACCAAGGCGAACAGCAAATTTTTGGACAATTATTTACTATCTTCAGAAAAATGAAGTTTAGTTTTTACAGACACTACATCTAATATACTATATGTTAAAACTCTCTCAAAGGAAGATTACAATTGACCATCAAACAAAATTTTGCTTTGAGTGATTTTTTGTATCACTTAACAGTCCTCAATAAACAATCACTTTAATCCTCAATAAACTAATAATTATTTATGGATATAATATGGCAATATGGATTTTATTTATATATATGGAACTTTGAATGCCATGGACTTCCTTCAACTCATTAGAATAACATCTTCTTACAAGTTCTGAGTTTCTACATAGAAGAGTTCGTTTGAAGTCTGAACTGCCCAACTTTTTATTAACATTTTTTCGTTTCTAATTTATGAAGCTGATGCTGAGTCTATAATTTCTTATTCTATCCATCTCCTGTAATGCCTCATTATTGCAAAGAACCTTTCTAGCGAGTTTCGAGCAGTCCAGTTCTTAAAATAACATTTCATCTAATGATTTCATATAACTCAAGGGGACATATGTTTGAGAAGAGTTATGCAGAGTTTTCATTTCACAAGGAACCCGTTATATTTTAAACATATATTATTATCACGTTAACATAGAAATATCGGGAGAATTTTCGCTACATAATGGGACATTACAGCCACTTCATCCAACTCTATAAAACTACAATTGTTTAATTCCATACATTTTAAAAAACTTTAGAACTTATGTCTTACTGTTGCCACTTATTTTTGTTAAATATTACAATCCCATTTATCACAGTCATGTACTATTATTTATAAGTTTTTATAAAATTAATTTTTACAGCATGTGAGAATTCCTAATAAACAGTTATTATTTGTAAGTCTTATAATATATTTAATGAAAAACAGCATATCTTTAGGTTCGATAAACAAGAATAAATAACTAGGAATTGACTTTAATATGTGTAAAAACTGTATTAACGTCAAGTGTCATCCACTACAAGTTAAAAAAAATGTATCTGAACTTGAGTGGATGAATAAAATTTTATTGACAATTAAAAATTTGAACAAGATATAGGGAGAGTGTGAGCTAATAGTAGAAATTTTAAAAAGAATATTTTTAGTTGCATGCTAAAATGAAATATACTAAATCACAATATTGAATCTCTGCATAACATTTCCCACTTGGTAAGTCTCATTCTAATAATATGTTGATGATATGTATAAGAATTGAGGAGATTCAAACATGTAGCGTATCCAACAGTACAAAGACTTAAAACATATAAGTACACTATACTAAAACTATCTCAGATAATATAAATTTGAAAACAATTTATTTATATTTATTGCTGTACAAAGTGTCAAAATGTTTCTAAACAACACTGTACATGTCAATAAATTCCATATAGTTCCTTTTCAGTTCTTTTGTTCTCTGAAGTAGTATTATTTCAATCTTCACCGCCACCTGCAATAATAAAAGGGAAAACAAATAAAAATTTACAACAAAAATCCTCACCAAAACATTACACAGGGTGTATAATTTAACTCCTTAACTACCGCCAGAAACATAGTAGATTCACTCTCCCCGGTGCCACCGTTTTTCAAACATGCGCGCGTACTTATACGATGCATTAGGGAAAAAATAAATGCAAGTTTGGCTGTCTAAAAACTGTTTACTTTCACAAAATAAAGAAGAAAAAATGACAATACAAAATTTAGTGTTAAGAGTATAAGAATAGCATATTAAAAAAGTAAAAGTATATTAAAAAAGATGTATAGTAAAAAATATAACAAAAAAGATCGCCAAAAAATGGAGTTTCGATCAATGTATTTTTAGACCAGTAAAGTGTAATATCAGGTTTCAGTGTAAAATCAGTATACCTAAATGGAAAGTGTGGAGGCGGAATAGGAAAGTTTTTCATATCAAGTCGTACCCAGCGTCAAGCACCTTTCGAAGAATAGTTGCTGACGGTAATATCATGTTCTGAGGTGTTCGATCCTGAAGATGACAGAAAGTAATCATCCATTTCACTGTCAGACTAAAAAAAGTACCTACTACAAACAATAGTAACGAAGTAAACAAAACAGAACTAAAAAAAATACATTTTAACTCAAACAGAATTACGATTAATAACAGCACAGTCATTACTTTCACAGTTTCCCCCTTTCTCTGAAATAGTATCCTCCTTTGCATATTCTATCACGGTCATTGTGGTGTTATATTCCAAAGCTTTGCGAATAATTTCACTGGTAGCAGCAAAAAGCAAATGATAGCATTTCGGAACGGCGTATATATACGCCTGGGCAGTTAACGCATCGGCTGAGCAAGGCATATATGCCTTGCCTGCAGCAATTAAGGGGTTAATTACCGGACGAAATAGTTAAATTGAAAGGAAATTTTACAGCGTGACCAGAAATCTCTACATATAATAAAAGAAAGAGTCTGTCTGTGTGTGTCTTTCGTTTGCACTGCGTGCAAGTTAATAGACCCACGGCTACGAAATTTGGTACGTAGGTGCATCTAGACAAGAGCCAGTGCACCTCGAAGCAATTTTTTTCGAAATTCGAATTAGAATTTTTTTAATGTTTTGTGACGAAATTGCGTCATTTTGAGACATAATGGGCTATAGGAAAGCGAGATTTTACGTGTGTGTGTGATTATGACAAAGCCTCGAGGGCTATCTGCCTAAGAGGAGGGATGCCTTCGTGGAGGACTTTCTAAGGGAAACTGGCTCGTATACACGTTACACATGGGGAAAACCACGAAAACGCCCATGCGGCCAGCCCGTTCGCGGGATTCGAACCTCGGACCGAACTACCAGTGTTCAGCGACTTTACCGCTCGGCCACTGGTGGGCCCAAAGCGAGATTTTACTCTATGCACTCCATTTTCTCATCGTCATAAAACGTAGGTACTTAGCTATTTTACGAACTTACAATAAATTTCGTGTTTTAATAAATCGATTAAATATGAATTTATTTAACAAAGTGAGCGTAACACCTTTTCAATGGGATTTTTTCTAAAAAAGTTTATGTTTAAAAAATGTACAGTTTATTTTTCTTTGATTTTTGGACACGTTAAACTTTCATCCTTGCGACTGCTTTTACAAAAAGAATTTTGGAAAAATAATATTTTGTATTTTAAAAATTTTTTTAATGAAGCTTCCAAGTACACTTCTCACATCTCACATCTTTAAAAATGTGATTTTGGCAACAATTTTCCTGTCTTATTGTTGTTGATAGATTTTTGATGAAATCGCATCATTTTGAATAGTTTCATTCTTTTAGAAATATGGGTTTGGCAACAATTTTTTCATCGTATTTCTTATGTCACTGTTTTTAAGAGATTGGCATATTTCATTGTCATTTTTTTATATATATAATACATTTTTATTGATTTTTTTGATAAAGTTGTTCTGCAGAGTAAAATTCAGCACGGAATTTTTTGTTTTTTGAGTTTCTTTCATGTTATTTTTTGCTTATTTCACTGTTTGTAAGATATTCAAAAGTTTTGTACGATTTTTTTTCTTCAACGGAAAGTTGGTTAATTTTTTTTCTCTTGAAAATATAAGATAAAATATCATTAATTATACTTAGCTTTTCAGAATTTTTTCTTTTTTGCATTCTTTTATGTTATTTATTGCTCATTTCACTGTTTTTAAGATATTGAAAAGTTTTGAGTGATTTTTTTAGGAAACAAAGTTCTTAACCTCCTTTATACCATTTGAGTTCTTAAGATTTTGCAGAGGGAAGTTAGTTAATTTATTTATTAAGATAATTAATATTTTTATTAAGGGATATTACTTATTTCATTGTAATTTTGTTATACGTAATAACTTTTTTTTATGAAGTTGTTCTGCAGAGTAAAATTCTATGCAGTTTTTTATTTAACGTTTGGTGTTCCCTTCAGCCATTTTTCCAATACATTTAAAAGCCAGATGAAGGCTGGCAGCGAAGCTTCTAGTAATTTATATAATTTTGAGTTCAAGGAATTCAATTTGCTCTAATTTTTGTGAACGGCAAAAGGTTTACAGACAAAATGGCATCGTAGAGTGAAAATGGAATGTACATTCTCCGATTATGGGAAACAAAATCTCTGAAAACTGTTCAGAAGCGATTTGGATATGAATTTAATAAACCTCCACCAATGGAACAATCAATTAAAACAGCTTCGAGAGACTGGACATGTTTTGCATAAAGATGCGGATAAGCCAAAGGTCAATGATGTTTTCCCCATTCGAGATGTGTTTATGCACAGCCCAGTAAATCCATTTGCTATGCCAGCGTGCAAACATGAATTCCCAAGGCACCTGTTCATAAAGTTGTTCATAAGCAGTTGAAACTGACCATGTATAAAGTGCAGATTTGTCAACAAATCAAACCTAATGATTCAGTCATTCTTAATTAATTTTCTTTACACATTCTTGACTGTATCGGTAATGATGATCAATTTCTTCAAAAAACACATGGAATACACGTGATGATTTCCTTGATGAAACATTTTCAGATCGTTGGATTGGTAGAGGTGAAACAATTTCATGGCCACCCCATTCTTCAAATGTCACACCACTTGAATTCTTTTTGAGGGATACTTAAAGAAACAAATTTATGCTGCAGAGATTCGCAGCTACTGGGTCTCTACAAATGTTTAATACCATCTGGAGGGAAATCAAGAAGGGACTTGACATTCTCCAAGCAACTAGTGATACTAATGTTGGAGGATATCAATATAAAATTCTTTGAAGTGCTAAATAAAATTGAGTCAATTTTCTCCCCTATCATTTAAAACATATCTTTACAGGTGAATAAATTATGGACACCTTGTATTTTTTAAACAACTGAAACTCACCGTTAAGTTCATCCTCCCCTTCCTCATCCTCTTCATCATCTTCAGTTTCAAAGGTGTTATCTGGTATATCATATAATCGGATAACAGGCTAAAAAAATTAAAAAATAGGTTTTAACCTTAAATTATGAATAGAATGCTGATAAAAACTTTTACAGAAAATTTCATTTCATTGCTTTATCAAAGTGAAGAAAAGAAATATTCCAGTCAATTAAAATCCTCCATAAGAAGCAATTAAATGCATTCTTATTACAAAGACTGATAAATATGTTTTTACAAGTTACTTTAAAAAAAATATTTTTAAATTCACTACAATCCTTGACCTTAGCAAAAAATAATTTATTATTATTTACATTAAAAATAATTTATAATAATTTACATTATTATTATTTACATTACATACAAAAATTATTATTTACATACATCATTTATTATTACATTGTTTTAATGATCCGTCAAATCCTTTTTAGATATATGCTTTGCCTAAATGTGAAAATGATTCATTTGTTTACATTAAATCTACTGATTAATGATTAAGTACATGATTAATGTACTGAATAATATAAAGAGACTTATTAAATCACATTTACGAATAAGTTATTCTCTTTCTAATGTAGAAACTGCTTACTATTTGGTATGAATCTGGAACAATTCCTAAAATAAAGCAATAACTGATTCTTATACTGAAAAATGAAGATGATCCGTCACACTGAATATAATATCACTTAAATATGGATGATACGCAGGTCAATGATAAACTTTCCAGACAAAAATTTTATTAATCTAATTAAGACTTTATGAATTATTAAGAACTTTTACTGGTAATTAATTAAAGCACTCAATAGCAACCAGACAACTAACAGGAACATACACATAGACTCCAACCTTCAGCAAACCTTGTCAGTAGTCAACGCGCGAACGACATTTTTACAACTTTGAAAATGTGCGCGTAGCGTATGTTGTAATTAACCATTCATTAATTTAAAATTAATAATTAATTGTAATCAATTTTATTACATTTAAAATCCATATACATATAAAACTGAATAATTAAAAATATACCTTGTAAATTATATGCACATTTAATTAGAAATTTTCTTTTAACTCCTCAAGCATTCACTAATAAAAAGTACTTCAAATCACTATTAATCATAGAAAAAATCAGAAGCTATAAATCATATCTTTATTCTGGATATGATTTCTACAGGGAAATAAAATTTAAATAACCAAGAATGATACATATAAGTATTAAACAAAATACGCATAATTTATGAATGCAAAGATTTATATGTAGCATGCTTAGCAAGCTTAAGTTCTGATTTTGAGAATGTTTTTTTATAACACAGTTCTTCATTTGCCTGCATATTTATTTTTTCAATCAAAACTGCTTCAAGAGTTTTAAGACCTAAATTTGGTCGAAATTCCGTCTGATTTTTTTAACAATAGAAAAAATTCTTTCGCAAGCTGCATTTGAATGAGGTATTATTAAGACAGCAAGCATTACAGAAGGCAATACTTTGTATTTAATACACCCATTCATATTTTTTAATTTGGCAATTTCTCCCCATGCTATATCAATACGCAAATCTACAATTTCTTTCAAATCATCTACTTGATACATGGAAAATTCAATTTCTACTTGATTAAGACATTTTTCATCAATAATGGATGGAAAAGTATTCATCAAGTAAAGAACAGATGAAAATGAGACTTCAGTTCTCAAGTTGATGTCAGCAACTTCAGCATGTTTTACAAATGGATCAGTCAGTGGAAATTTCAATTATATATGAACATGCAGTTACAAAAAAAGCTCGCACAGAATTGAAAAATGATTTCACTTCACTTTCATTCAACTTGGCATTTTTAAAATATAGTCTTGTTTCCGCACCAATCACTAAATTTTCATTTTCTTTTTGTTTACTATACTTCTGAAATGGAATAGACGTTAGAGTAACATCTTCATTTTCTTTAGAAATTACTGATGGTTTTACGAATCTAACAAATAAATTCATTAAAAGTTCAAAAAGTTCTCTTCTCAATTTATGTATATAAGGAGCTTGTTGTTGCAAATTAATATTTACTGTTATAAACAAAGGCAAAGTATTTTTCAAAAATAACAAGTACAATTTGGTGGTCAGTGACTGTAAAATTTTTTTAATGTTTTGCAATCTCTTTCCTTCATTCTCACTGTTATCTGGTTTATCTCCAAAAAAAATTTATCACAGCATCCCACTGTTCCAAAATCCTTGTTATAGATTCTAAAAGAGACAACCATCTCGTACTGCAATATTTCAAAATTTTATGAGATTTTGCATTCTGTCCCAAAATTTGTTGAGCAACTTTGAAGCTATGCTTCCGTTTCGAACTTTTCTCCAAGTAAAAATATATCTATCTATATCAACATTTCAATTTCTGAGCCAATTAATTTTTCAGTAGCTTTTTTTGCAGCTATATGCAAGAGGTGACACGGACAACCTCAGGTGATTATACTTGGTTGATGCATTTTGATAAATGATGCTACACCTTTAAACTTTCCAATCATATTACTAGCATTATCTGAAGAAAATGATAAGCAATTTTTCCATTCTAAACCTTTGTTTTTAAAGTTTTCATTTATACAATTAAAAATACCTTCTCCTGTATTATCCGTGCATTCTAAAATAGAAATCAATGAAGTAATTATCACTCCCTTTTCTTTACTGTAGTATGTTATAACCAATGGGTACAGTTTGTTATCATTGTTATCATTACTTCCATCAGTACTTAGAGAAAATGATGTACTGCACACTGATTTTATAATATCAGCAACAGTATTTTCTGCAAGCGTTTTCACAATAGCAGCAGTTTTGGTATGACCGCAGCTAAATTTTTTTGCTATGGCAGAATCCGGAAACATTGCTTTGAAAAGCTCTTTGGAATGATCCGAAACAGAAAGCGGTAGATTATGTTCAATTAAAAAACGAACAAAATAGCATTCGGCTTTTATAGGATCTGTTTCATCATCTTTTTATTAAGAAATTTGTTATTTCTTTAGATTTTACGGTGCCAAGTTCTATATGCTTTTGAGAAAACACATGCCGTTTACAGTCATCTTTTCCGCCATGAGCAACTGAGAAGTCTTTGTTGCATACACTGCAGTGTGCGTGATTCACAGAAATTTCGGACGCTTTAATGCATGGAAATTCTGAAGAATATGAATCTTTAAACTTCTGCTTTGATAATTTTGGCTTCTTCGTTCGAGGCAGCATTATGATTAAAAATCTTTCACCTGATTCACAGTTCACAAGACACACGCTAAGCTCTCGCCGTAAACTACACAATGCAGCCGAATGCAGCCTAAACACGCATCAGTGATGGAACCTGGGAGACAGACAATTGGGTGGAACTATTGATAAGTCGTTAACGGTTGGAGTTACTGATCTACGATTGGCTAATTCTTCAAAACTAGGAACGCACTCAACATGTGATATATGATAACACGAGTATTCAGCCAATCATCGGATGAATTAGTTGGTTCCGTTTTGCGTACTGGTTCTCCTGCTCTTGTTTCTGTAAAATCCGTAGTTTTTTCCATACTTTTCGTAGCTCGTAGTTTTTCATGAATTTCCGTAGAAACTACGGAGAATCCGTAGTAGTTGGAGTCTATGCATAAAGTCCAGTTGGACAACTAACAGCACTTATGCCTGGCTAACAACATTGTTACTGCTAAATACTATTATTGTTATTTAATTATACATAGTAAGCTCTCTCTACACAACCACCCATGGTTTCGGGTGATTTTGGTCTTATTCAAATGGATTCATTTGAGAGGTGATATTAAACACTAATGTTTATTTATGTTCTTAAATGCCAACTGCTTTCAGAGGTGTATGGCACAAGAAGAATGTTATCTTAACTGAATTTATTGCATACAGATACACTACTTATAGACTGTTAGCCAAAGGCCTAGATAAGCAATTTACTTTTTAAAAACAATGCCACTGCCTCCAAAACTATAATGCATTTCATCATAAAATTTACATTTAAAAATATTTAGCATATGTTTTAGCATAAAATAAATTTTTAGCTATTAAAAAATTCTATTTTTATAATGATTCATTAATTTTCCATCAGTAACTACTATTAATACCATTAAAATATAAAATTCAGACTTGGCAAGAAGTAAAGACAAATTAAAATTAGTCCTATCTTTACACATTCTTAAATACAATATTGTTATAAATTATGTAAATAATTTTGGGGAAGTTATGCATAAAATTGTACTATTTTGTGTATAATGTAACATGAAATGGTTGAAAGAGACCCTACACTAGCAGAAAAATAAATTACAGGGGGCAAGTCTAACATCAAGTAAATGGCTATCTTGCTAGCTTGACAACATTTTAGTCAAGTCCACATATAACTGTGATTGAATAAATGTAATTAATCTAAATGTGTGACTATAGCCTTATCCGATCTTTATATGCCCTCCAATAATTTTGAGAAGTAGAAGATCGGCAGCTGGGGAAGAATTATATAAGACCAGAGAGTGCATCAGTTTCTCAGTTGCTAGTTCAGAGTTGACTTCGGAGCACTGAGATTATCTCCATGTGACCTTTGTTCTTTAAACATGATCTGCATTGTGTTGTTTAACATTTTTTAGTACTTTGTAGTGAAACTACTGATTGTGTTCTGTGATAATGACAACTGTACGAGTATTTTTGTGGAAAGCTGAAAACTTTGCACCTACTCTAGGAGATTTGTGAAAGCCATTTCTCCCATTGTAAGCCCCCTTCACAAACAGACAAAAAAGAAAAGAATGTTAGGATGCATTTAACAGACTGAAGGAGACTAAGGAAAATCAATCCACCTATCCTGGTGTATCTTCAGCTCTACAAACCATTTATTCTGAACATGGACGCTAGCAATGAGATCATCAGTGCTGATTTGTTCCAAGAAATAAACAGTCAAGAACATGTCATAGCATATTGAAGCAAGCGTCTATCTAAACTGGAGAGGAATTACTGTGTCACCAAACCGTGTTGCTCCCCATAGTCAAAGCTCTAGAACATTTCCACCATTACCTCTGCCGCAGAAAATTCCTGCTCTGTACAAATTATGCATAGTTGACTTGGCTATTCAGAATTCCCATGGGCAAATAGTCAGACAGATACAGACATTCCAGGAATATAACACAACTATCCGTCTTAGGACAGGATTGTCACATGGAAACATTGATGCCCTGTTCAGAAGACCCTAACATGAAACATGCTAATATCATTCCAGGGATCAAATAAAATACAAGCTGGTTAATATGGGCACATAATCATGTTAAAAGTTCAACATTTTCTTACCCAGACACATGGACAGATGAAGAAGTCAGGAAAGACCAGTTAGAAGATATGAGATATTAAACCCATAATTGACTTAATAGAATCTTCAAATAGGAAACCTACCTGGCAAGACATTTTGATCTACAGTTCGAAGAGAAAACAACATTAGGTTCTGGAACTCGTTCCATATTTGAAATGGGGTCTTATATAGGAAATTCGAATCAGATGATGGAAAGGCATTCTGACACAACCGGTACTTCCAAGATCTCGGACATCCTTAAAGAATTACATAGCAGTCCAACAGGCCACTTTGGAATAATGAAGACTTTGCATAGAGTTTGAGAATGCTTGAGAATGCTTCTACTGGAATACTGAAATGGCTGATGTGTAAAAGTGGTACCAATATTCCATTCCTGATCACGAGGCTGTTACAGTAGCAATATAATGATACAGCACTGGATTTCCAGGTTTGGAGCGCCTCATCAGTTACATTTCGATCAAGGAAGCAATTTTATCTCCACTGTAATTAATGAACTCTGCAAAGTACTTGGCATCAACAAAACCAAAATGACACCTTTACATCCAAAAATGACATCTTACAGTCAGACCGCATGGTACAGAGGTTGAATCAAACCATCCTTAATAACCTTGCGCTGATGACTTCCAGAAACCAACAGAACTCTGACCAGAAGTTACCTCTGTTTTTACTGCCCTATCGTTGCGCTCTTCACGAGACTGCAGGCTATTTTCCATTCCATATGGTCTTTGGTCAAATCAATGTCTCTTGTTTGGTCGCCATCCGGATGCGACTTCATATCCCGAAAAGTACATTCAAAACTTCCAAGCGCTAATTGAAGTAATACATATTTTTGCACCAGAACAAGTCAACTTGACGATAGAGAAATTAAATACCCAATACGACATGAGAGCTAGAGGTCATCCGATACAATGAATGTGAAAAGGTGCGATTATGGAATCTGATTCAATGGAAAGAACTTTCTTCTAAATTCTGGTCATCTTGGGGTGGTCCTTAAAATCGTAAACAGTCTGAACGATGATGTATTTCGGATCTGTAAGTCATCCCAGCATAAAGTCGTTCATTACCATAGGCTAGTCCCTTACTATGGCCATAGTACGTAGTTCTCACAGCGTATATATTGTAAATAGAATACTAAAAATTTCTAAATTTATGCAGTTATTAATTTGACTTTTTTGTGTTATTCATTGAAATTTTGTTTTAGTACTACTGAATTTCCAAAAGTATAGCTTTCTGTCTAGGGTTTGTACTGCCCAGAACATATAGCTCTTGGGAGAAGGGCAATGTTATGAATTTATACATATATGTAAATAATTTTAGTGATGTTTAAAATTGCAGTATTTTTTTATAATGTAATATAAAATGCCTGAAAGAGACGATGCACTGTAGAAAAATAAAGGGAGCAAGTCTATTTTATAATGAGTAAATGGCTATCTCGCTAAATTGGTGAGATATCGCCAAGCTGGTGACGGTTTTGGCAACTAATTTTTTGTCTGTAATGGGTATTGTGATTGAATAACTGTAATTGATCTATGTTACTGTAACTGTATCTGGCCTTCATATGCCTTCGAATAATTTGAAGAAGTACCAAAGATCTCCCGGCGAATGGGGAAAACTATATAAGACTGGAGAGAGCACCAGTTTTTCAGTTGTTAGTTTCGAGCTGAATTTGGAGTATTGAGATATTTGTGAGAGCTCTGCCTTTTAGCTACACTGAACAGCTGTACGAATTCTTTTGTGGAAAGTTTTAGAATTGTAAAGTGCTTCTTTAGGTAAAAAAATTTTTTTTCAAACTATCAGTTCTGTCTGCATTTAATCCATCACGAACTCCTACGAACACAACAATACATACTTGCTATCATAACTGGTTTCGTATCAAATGCAATTTAGTTATGAATTATGAATTTCAAGCTTATGGGATTTATAGTTATGTATTAACCAGATAAATACATTTCACTGAAATGCTGAATAAAATTTTATGCAAGTAATATTAATATAAAATTATTTAAATATACAAAAAATTTCATGCAATTCCCTTTCCCAAGAAAATTTTTTCCGAAATAGTAATTCTAATATTCTTACATATCAACCAATTAACTTGTAGAACAGAAAAGGAAAAAAAATTATGCACTTACAGAGATGTGTAAACTAAAAACAAATATCAAAATCTAATTTTAACGTAAACCTCTCTCATATATATAATACAATAATAAATTTAAATTCTTTCTCATAACACAATACAGAATTTAACACTCTACTAGCCACAGTAAACTAATCAGAACAAATAATAATGAAAAAGGTGCTCATTCAAAAAAAGATACTGTGAAGTAACAACTTTAAAATACCTTATTAGGATCTTTCATGATTAGGTATTTTCCTTCTTTTAATTTCATACAGGTGTCTACGATGCAACGTAAAATACCCCATGCGTTATCCATGTTCAAATTTATTTGATCAGCAAATTCTTTTGGCTTGAACTGTTGAGTACCTAAAATGGCATGCTTTGCAGAATCTCGTACATGGACCCGAGATACATACCTAAAAAAATCACACAGAATGGCATTTATCTCAGTAAAATGCATGCAAAAACGTTAATGTAAATTATAGCACCTCAAACAGTGTTACACAGTTTCATTGCATAAATTTTTAACTACAATATTTATATTTACCACAGATTTATTAATCTTGATAACAAAAATAATAGATAAGGATATGCAGTAATTAATTATACAGTAATAAATGCCTACATGGTAAATTATAGAGCAACAAAAACATTTAGATATTTTACTATTGAAATAGAAACCAATTCACTCTTTAGTCATAGTTGAGAAAAACTGCTGAATAGATAATGGGAGGGAAAATCACAACTGACTGGACCATTGAAACATTTTCATTTTAGAGAGAAAAAAAAAAAAAAAAAGGTTTTCATAAATAAATTTTTGCTTAAACTGGAATCATATTATGGATGCTAAATGCACCCTACAATTTCTATATACGTCATTTACAATTTTAGATAACTAAGAAAAAAAGACAAAGCGAGGGACATTTATTTAAGGAGCAGCAGGCAAGAAAAAGTTACTGCAGTCATGTTTATCAGCCAGAAGGTCTGTTTTAAAGATTCACAAACGCTGCTTTAAAAAAAAAAAAAAAAAAAAAAAGTAGTAATAAACATGCTACTTTCTAATAATTCGAATTATAAACTCATTTTTCCATATATTACTTGGAAAAAATCTTCCAGAATCTTGTCAGTATCATTTATTAAACATTAAAAAGATTATGAAAAAGTTTTGAAATTTTGGATTAAGAAGCAATAGTATATGTAAACAAAAGAGAGATGGAACTATCAATGATTTCACTTAATTCTCCCCCCACCTTTACTTCCCTTTACCAAAATTATCCAAAAAAGTTTCAACTGATTAATTCAATTATTTCAAAATCTGCAAAATATAGTTAACAACTTTACTTTGAATTCTGCTTATCTATTTGATTTCATGCTCTTAATTTTAAGTTCTGCTTTTTGTTTTCATCAAATAATGACATAAAGCATAATTTCTGTCAACTTATCAAGTCATACTTCTTTTCAAATAAAGCTTAAGTCTTGTAAGATTGTATTGAGCAACAACATTATAATCAGTACCATTTCTCATTTTAAGAAGAGAAAAGGCTTTTTATTTTGGTTTAAATAAGTCCTAAATTCAAAATTTCACTTCTTCTTAATTGACATGTTTCCATGGAAAACATATATTTTGCAAGGAATTCTTTGAAAGTTCACAATGTGATAAATATGAATATTTTTTTCCCAAGCTATGAGGAAAAACTTCTGAATATTTTCACAACACAAGTCTTCTCCAAGGATTTATTCACACCTTCAAAAGTATCCGATTCATTTTAGGAAAAAAAAAAATATTACATTCATATATCTCTTCACGTTCAATTAGAAAACTTTCCCCCTTTTAAATAACCAGACGACATTTTAACTTTACTTTTTTTAAATTGCACTATCGCATTAGTCTAAGTGCCAAGAATAGTATTGAAAGTTTCTACATCGAAAGACATCATAAATTTTCAGTAATAGTCTCTGCAATCACTCCCTCCAAAAAAAAAAAAAAAAAAAAAAAGGACAAAAAGGTATATCAAACATGCAATATTAAATTTATTTTTAGCACTACATAAATTTGGTGAGAAATATTTTAAGCTTACGCATATCCTCTCCAAAAATATTTTTATAACACATACATTTATAAATCAGCTTACAAGGCAACATGAATGAGATTTCTTACACATTTTGCAAGTTGAAAAAGATCATAAAAATTCAAACTAAAATAATGACTAAGTAATTAATAAATAATTATACCAATTTTAAACACAGAAGAATATAAACCAAAACTTACATAAATAACAATATTCAGATAGTAAAAGATTATATCACCTACAAAAACTTCAATTCAACATTTTGATTTTAATACATGTTGCAGAAAACAAAATGCTGAATTTCATTACAATTCAATTTTTCATAAATACATAGGGACTTTGAATAATACAACAAAAGTATAAGAAATCTGACACCTAAGGACATTACCCAAATTTGATTTGATCAGATCCAGCTAATAAAGCTTGAACAGTCCATTTAGCAAGTTTGCAAGAATTATTTTTCAGCTCATTAGCAAGAACAGCTCCTCTCTGTGTATCTAGTTTTTGACGCCAATCAATGCCACCAGAAGCCTAAACATAAAACAGTCTTATTTATAAAGCATAAGTCACAAAAAGAAAATTACAGCCTTTTTGGATAAAAATAGAATATATAAAAATATATATCTTACCCTAGGATCCCATTCATTTAAAGCTTTTATATTGATAAACTGCAATTCTGAATTAGGCCCATGCATTACTGCATCATGTTCACAACGCACTACAAGCTGCACACCATCACCAAGATCCCATGAACGGTATCTACAAAATAAATAAATAACAAATAATACTTTTTATAAATTCAGCAATTATTTCAATATACAGTAGAGGAATATTACATCTTTCAAGGGACCATTCACAAATGATGTATAAATGGGAAAGATGTATAAACTAAATTTTAATTTATGATGTGTGTGTGTGTGATTATGACAAAGCCTCAAGGGCTATCTGCCTAAGGGGAGGAATGCCTTCGTAGAGAAATTTCTAAGGAAAACTGGCTCGTATACATGTTACACATGGAAAACCACGAAAATGCCCATGCAGCCAGCCCATTCGCAGGAATCGAACGTCGGATCAAACTACCAGTGTTCAGCGACTTTCCTGCAGGCTGCTGGTGGGCTAATTTATGATGTGAAGCATATACATATTAGTTGCACAGTATTGATACTACTACACTACTATTACATGATTTTATTATCTTACTTTCAATTTGTTTAAAATATTAACTATATTTAAACAAACCTAAAATTAGTATCTTATATAAGTATTTTATTAATATTAATATTTTAAATGATTAAACAAATTAAACGACCGCCCAATGGCAAAGTGGCTAGCGCGTCATGCAGCTGCACCACAGCTCCGAGGTTCGATCACAGGGCTGGGCAAGGTTGACTCAACCTTACATCCTCTTGATTGGGTTCGATAAAATGAGTAATAAGTTCACCTTGGACTGTTCGCCCAGCTGGTACAGTGGTTAATGAAGTCTACTATGGTATCAAAGAGCTCGGCTTCGAGTTCCAGAGAAGGCATAGTTATAAGTGTCCGTCCCTAAACTGTGACCATCTATTAGGTGCCTCCACATCTGGTCTTAAAAGTGGCCAATGCCGAATAGACATGTGCTCACCACTATATTTAAAAAAAAAAAAAAAAAAGGTTCCTGGCATTGAATGACAGAACATTTAATGCTATTTCAAAAATTGTTAGAAATTCAGTTCTACCTCCAATCCACAGTTTAGTCAAGGATTTTTATAAAAACTCAAGTTTTAAGTCATTTGACAACTCAACAAATTCTTTTTGGGCTTTATATAACAGATGATTGATTTCATCCAGTCAATTAATGTAATTTCTTTAAACTTGTGTATCTGAATTAAATTTTTGCAATCCCATATTTAAGAAACACTGCTCTATCTCAATTTTGATTAACAGAGCCTTTTAGAATGTGAACAAGTGGTCATGCACTCCTTTATTACTTTTAAACTCTTGACAATATTTTTCCAAATAAGTGAATATACTTATTCTACAATGGTAATAACCATCAATTCCTATCCCTTGTATGGGATTTAATCTCAGCCAAAGGACTTGGCAGCTTAGGCATCATACTGTGAGGCAGCTACAATGAATTAATAATAGTTTTTAGCATTTATTATAAAAAAGAAAATTATAAGAATTATGAATTTTACAATGGATTAAAAGAATTCATTATAAAAAGAAAAACCTGTATTTAATAATAAAAAGTCTTGTGTAATTGGCAAAGAATTTCTCAAAAATATTAAACCAAAGTTGAATGTTTAAATAAATTTAAGTCAAAAGTAACATAACATTTTACCGATATGCAACAGACGCTACTTCACCTTCTTCATCGCTCTGAATAAATGGATTAACATTTTCAAAAGAATATTTCTCCTCACCCTAAAAAATTTTTTTAAATTAAAGATTTATATAATAAATATCACATCTGATATTTAATTTCATTTAAATTTTAAATTTAGTACAAAATCTTTGGATGATCTTCTTTATGAGTATAACAAGTAACAAAATTTAATGACATAATTAACTTTAAGCTAATAAGAAATTCAAATTTTGTTAGCTAACATATATAATAACAAAGCAAAAAAATAAAATAATAATTATCAGTTTTTTTTAGTGCACATTCCTTTTTAATATTAGGCAAAAAACAATCTCATTTTGGCATGGATCTTGAATTAAAACTATCAAATTTGAGAATGGTCAGAACAGGTTTTTCACCTTCAGAAGCTAAAAATCGTATGCTTTTTTATTCTAGATCTACATCAAAATAGGGTTGCTTTTTGGCCTAATTTTGAACTTTACATTGATGTATTTCTCTTCCTTTTTTGTTGTTAACACTTTTCACTAATGATAATCTAATGATTGAGCAAAAGATCATCATTAATATATTTTAAAAGAGTAAGAGCTTATGCAGTTAAAAGTAATTCTCAGCTTAACATAAATTTATCATTCAGTTTCAAAGAAATGGTACATGGCAAATGTATTATAGTAACACAATATCCCTATCAGTGGCCGAGTTGTTAAGACCACTGGAATACTGGTAGCTAAACCTAGGTATGAATCCAGGCAAACAGGTTGGCTATAGTAGTGTGAATATGACACAGTACCTTTTAGAAAGTCTCCCCTCTATAGGCAGAGAGTCCTAGAAGGCTTTGCCAAATTAAAATAACCTAACCTATAGAAACATGATATAACATCTGACTTTACAGTGTTTGATTATATGGCTTCTTTTTATACCAATATCCTAAGAACTATCTGCCATATGTATAGGCTTGTATTCCTGTTATACAAAGTGGGAAAATAAAGGACAACTCAAAGCAGCCAGCCTAGATATCTACTGGAATCATGATTATTTTGCTACACAAGATTACACCATGGAAATTGTAATCTAAGAGTAAGCACTCTTCTTACATGATAAGGAAAGACTATCATATATCTTTCCTCATCATAGGCTGAAATTCAGAAGGTTGCTTATTTAATTATGGTATGGTGGCTTTACGGAGGACTTCCTATAGGAAACTAGCTGACATACAGGGATGTGCAGCCAGCTTATTCATTGGGATTCAAACTGGGTCAAACTACCATTGTCCAGTGACTTTATCCATTTGGTCACAGGTGGGCTCTGAAACTCAGCAGGCACAGCAATAATGTATGTGCAGAAATGTGTTACATTTCTGAATCTGGTCTTAATAACAAAGTACCTAAATTTTAGTGAATTTTAAAATAAAATTTTTTTCAAAAAAAAAATTACACATACCATTTTCAATACTTGCTGAGAAAAATTATGATTTATAAAAGTTGCTTCTAAAGCTAAATTTCTAGGTGAGTTAATACTATTTCCTTCTTCATGGGGCGGTTCTGCAGCAGTTTCATTCACTGTTAACAAATCTAAATGAAAGAAATAAAAACGTAAGTTTAATATTAAAACGAAAGAAATACATTAAAAGCTTATACCACCAATTTAAGTTTCAATTAATTTAAAATACACTTTACAAATTGATTCAAATGGAAAACCCCAAGACGTTATTATAAAATCCTTAAGTTTTTTTTTTATTTGAGAAGTCAATTTTATAAACATTAAAAATGTCATCCAAATAAAATTACAATACACCCCGCACAAAAAATTTTTAATTGATTATTTTAGTTATCTAAAACATGACATTATTTATAACATTATTGTTGAAATTAATCCTAATTAATTTTAATATGAGAGATCATTTATTTTATTTATAACAAAACATCTTACAATCAACTTAATTTCACAATAACTTTTTATAAAATAACCAGTGTTTTCTATGAAACATTCATACTAAAATCAAACTGACAAGAAACTATAATCTACTTACCGAATTCAGAATCATCTCTCTTATCAAAGAATAACTTGTTTCCAACACGCTGCAACAAAAATAGAAGCCATGTAACAATTAATTTAAAAATAAACAAAATCCACATTATGATACATATAAATCTTAGTTCTGTAAGAATCTAATTAGAGTGAACTTGCTATTTTAGTTTAAATATGTTAAAGCATATGTGGGTTATATGAATATAGTATGGTGCGTGGTGGTTATGGCTCAGCATATATCCTTCAAAGTCATGACTCCATTTCGTTAAATATAACTTTATTTTCACACAACGAACATAATGAAATAACATACACAACAGTAAACTACTAAACTAAAATTCGTACATCCTACGCTCGAGCTAAAGGTGACGTGTGCAAGTTCACCCTCGTGCTAGCAGTTTTTACGTAAACCACATGACGTGGTCTAGCGGCACACGCAGTCGAACAAGAGACTGCCACAGAGTATCCCCCCAGTGACACAGTCATGACACAAAAGGAGTTAGCTGTAAATTTCCAAGTTTAAGATATGCACATTCGAATAATAGTTATACTTTAAAAATGTACGCACAAAAAAGAAATGCAAAATGCATAAATAGTAATAAAACACTTAAATTCTGATAGAAATATATACCCATACAATGCATAACTTAGTTACACAGAAATAATGAAAAGTTAATAAGCATTTTATGTAACTCCCAATACATATGAAAAAAAAAAATTAATCAAGTATTTTTACACTATGACATTTGCTTGCAGCAAACCACAATAGAAAACTAAAATCATATTATAGTGATTAGTTTTTTAGGAAAATGAACATGACATCAACTGCGAGTAACTACTTGTTTTAGAACAATTTTTGAGTTTTCGCAGACGTCCTGTGGAAACTGAGAATGACAGATGAATCTACAGTCAAAAGTCGTCAATTCGGACACCCATAATCCGGAATGATCTATAATCCAGACCTCAAAGCTAAAAACTTTCTGCGCATGCGCCGCGTGGCACATGCGCACAGCCGTTTTACGCGTGCGCATAAGACCTTGACTACTGCGCATATGCGTGTGCGCAAGTACAGAATACGTTTTCGCCTGCGCGTTTAATGTATAATGGACGGTGTAAGCTAAAATTATCTAATTATCTATTTCAGTTAATGTTAATGATTGCGTTGTTCCTTAATCTTCGAATTGGATCCCGCTTATTATTTTCCTGCAGACTGTAAGAGCAATTTTATAAAAGTAAACTTGAACTTTCGATTATGTCAAATAGAATTTCCGATGCTGCAACTTCCAAAGGATCTATACAAAACGAAAGTATGTTTCGATGTCCAACAAACAAAAAGTGGAATTGCTGCAAAAAATGGATAAAGACATGAAGAATGCGACAGAGAGGTTAGTGAAAATGAAAAAATTTCGATTGACAAGTTAGTCGGTATTCTCGGCACAGAAATTAACTTTGTAACTGAACAAGAAATTATGTCTGTTTATAGAATTAAAGAGAAAGTATTATCACATAAAATGAAGCAACTTAAACAACTTACATTGAAAGAAATGTTTAATAAAGTAAACAAATAAATATTAAGCTTTTTTTTTTTTTTTTTTGTAAATTTTGATACTCTTTAGATCATAATTGTTCTTTATTTCATAAATTACGGTTTCATATTTTTAATTTTAGAATTTCTGCATGCCATCTTACGAGATTTAAACTGATGATCTATAATCCGGAAAAATCGATAATCCGGAATCGAAGTCCCAACGAGTCCAGATTAACGACTTTTGACTGTATACGTTCTGACAACAAATGCTGGTTTTAAACGATCAATTGCAACTGTAATCTTTTTGTTATTTACCTCAATAATAAAATTTTTATCCATTCATTTAACCACAGCATGAGGACCAGTGTAAGGTGGAGTTAGAGGTGGTTTAAAAGAGTCGATATGCAGAAATACATGAGAACAGGTTTGAAGTGCCGGGTGTACATAAATTTATAGTTGAACATGTCTAGAGGTTGGAATAGGTCTAACTAGATGCATTACTGATCGAAGCTGTGATACATAAGATTCAGAAGGATACAAAATTAGCAGTATTCAGCATATGTGAGAGTAATCTAAGTGTGGTACCAAAGACAAGTACGAATCAGGTAGCATTTATATCTTTCTTAAAGGCAGATCTGATACCCAACAGAACTATAGGCAGAATTTCAGTCCATTTTGGGTTGTTATGAGCCATTATTGAACTTTTAACTTATTATAGCTCTTGCCTATGAAATCTCTCAATCAGCCCATTGGACTGAAGACATCCTACGCTCGAGCTAAACGTCAAGTGAACGAGTTCACCGTCGCGCTAGCAGTTTTTACGTAAACCACATGACGTGATCTAGCAGAGAGTCGAACAACAGACTGCCACAATAGGAACGGAAGTCTTTCCTGGTGAAGTGGTTCATGTTCATATTCCACATAAAAAAACTATAAAAATACAAATGGAGACAGCTTATTTACCAGTTCAAAAATGACATGAATGATCTTATCTTCTCAGTTAAAGGCGCACCTAAAACTGGTGATTAGCAAATTTCTTTTTCTGAACTTATGGCATGATTACATACATTTTAACAGATCTCTCAATATCCAGCAAAAAATTAAGCAGCTAATTGCAAATTTTTGAATAATGTAAATAGTGACAGTCAATAACATTAATGACGGAATCTACACTGAGTCAATAACATTAATGAATGATCTTATCTTCTCAGTTAATGGCGCACCTAAAAGTGATTAGCAAATTTCTTTTTCTGGACTTATGGCATGATTACATACATTTTAACAGATCTCTCAATATCCAGCAAAAAATTAAGCAGCTAATTGCAAATTTTTGAATAATGTAAATAGTGACAGTCAATAACATTAATGACGGAACTGAAAATTTTATATAATTTACAACTCAAAATAAATATATAAAAAAAAAATTCAGGGGTAAGGGGCTATTACCACTACTTACTGAATACAAATAGAATGCTAGCTTGATGAAGCAATATTAGTTGATAAATACCTATTTTAATATTGCTGAGACAAGCTTAAAAATTAAGATTTCTTTCTTTTTAAATCTAAGGTAGAGTATTAAGGCCCGTCTACACATAGCGATTTTCTCGGCCGACAATATCTGAGATAGCTCGCCTGTCCACACGGAATGATTTTCTCCTTAGTACAGGAATTCACTCAGCCAATCACTGTGAAAGGAAGTGGTTCCCACCCTCTACAGCATCACACTGTCTACGATTTGAAAAAAAAGCTTACGGTGTTGTCAAATAGTTAAAATAATGTATGACTGTTTTACTTTAAATTGCTACTATAGATAAAGCTACAATTTTGAACTTAGCTATTGATATAGAAGGGGGAAAAATGCGTTTGGACCAGAAATTGAGTCAAACGACGAGAAATTCATGAAGCCTTCATAATACCCTGCTCCGGGAGTTACGTATTAAAAGCAACGGTACAATTCGAAAAGTATTTACGGATGATGCTGCGTGATTTTGATTTTTTGCTAAATTTAGTTTGCAGGAAAATAATAATAATAAAAAAAAAAAAAAAATAATAATAATGCTTTTCTTTTGTGTACTGAGTACAGATATTACTCCTTTTTTAGTTTATAATCAAAACCTTTATTAATTAATAAATAGACAATAATATCATGAATATCAAACCAATATGAGTAAAAAGTATTAATAAAGAATAAAGATTACTACATTACAAAGCAACAGTGTAATTTCAGTGCAAAAATTTTGAATAAGAAATATAAAGGCACAAAGTCTTAAGCAGTATATCTATTGAACATTAAAAAACTAATATCAGCATAATTAAATAACTAATACAGTCTGAAAACTATGATTATATGACTCTATCAGTTAATCAGCGAATAAAATTTAGCAATATTGAATTAAATTGGGCTGTAATTTGCTTTATCAAAATTCAATTAACACAAAACTGAGTTTGTGACTTTTGATTTTCTTTTGACAAATAGATCTAAAACACCATTCGAAAAATAAATTCGAAAAATAAAAAGAAAGATGTTAAAATTCAATAAACACCCCACCCGTAGGCGAAAAAATAAAAGGTGACTCTTAAGTCATGCAGTTCGAATTTAGTGATGGAGAAACTAAATTAAAAAGTTCTTCCAGCTGCAGAAAGTCCAAAATTAAGGCGGGGATTGAACCCACAATCTTGACGTACGAAGAAAACCTAGTCTACTCTTTACCACTAGGGTATGATCGCTCGTGCAAGAACTGTTGGAAAAGCTATGTACTTCATCACCTGATTAACTCCCATTTTTGACGAAGTTAATTGAGTCTCTGCGCTGCTTTATTCTCGACTGGAGATTTTGCTTTTTGAATTTTTTCAGTAAGTGCGACCACAGTTTCAAGTAGTTTCTGAATATTTTCATCTAGTACCCATGACGTGGTATCATTAATAGTTTTTGGAGCTTTTCTTGAGAGAGTTAAAATCATTTTCACCCGGAATTAGAAAATATTGAATATATAAAGTAATGGGGAAAACAAATCTTATCAAAATAAGAGAATCCCTTAATTTTTTTATTTTTAAAATTTACATTACTCGTGTCCCACAACACAAAATTTTCTCTATAGAAATCGATTAGTTGAGTTTCGCTCCAAGAAATGCAGCCATGTTTATTATTCCAAATAAGGAGAAAAGCACGTGATCACTCAAAGCAAATCTTATTGGCTAGAGACTCTGATTTTATCGTATGCTAGTGAGCAATGAACACCAGTTCTGAAATCGCGGCAGAGAACATGACCGATTTTTGATGGATACGCAGATCCTTAAAATTGTTGCTCTACGAGAAAGTCGGCCAAGAAAATCACTTCGTGTAGACGGGCCTTTATAGATTTTGAAAGACATAAAATGCAGTCTTGATGTTCTGAAATAATGTAAATATAGCAAATAACAATTTAATGTTATATCATAAAATAATTTACAGCAAATAGCAAAATGCAGCAGGAGCACCTTATAAAACTATTATAATAAACGAAACTATGTCAGTTAGAAGCATAAAACTTGTCCTTAGTTATTCTCTCCAACATCGATATAAAGTTGAACTTTTCCAGAAACAAAGGTATCTTGTAAATTGAATAGAATCATAATACTCTTTATTATAGTGTTAATCTCTTTTTCAGTTAAAATTACATATTATAGTTAGTTAGTTATAAATAACTAACTATAATAACTAAGTTGGAGTTAATGATAGCTTAAAAGGCATTTTTACTCCTGAAGAACAGGGACCTATGTTAAATTGCCCTTAAGTTTGACATAATTTATTAAAAATCTATGCCCTAGAGGTTTTCCCCTCTTAAATTTAAATTTTACTCTAGGAATGTTTCTCTTTTATTTGATTATGATATGGTGTTTTATAACTTATCTTCCTTTAAAATGTTTACAGATGCTGTAGCAGAATAGGAACAGGCATAGTCTTGATAAAGCATTAAGTCCCAATTGCTAAGGCCTTGCAGAACAAGATAAACAGTGCTGTGTGTATAGGAATCATAACATCCTATCCTAAGAGCTTGCCAACTGATTCCTATATACTCAGGTTTTTGCTATTCTGTTTATTAACATGGAAACCAGGCTGAAATAATTTTGTTTAATATTCATACTTTATGAAGAATTCTATACACTGTTGCAGATTTAATACTACAGATAGCTTTTTATTATTAGGTATGGGCATTAAACAGCCATTTGTATTATTTTTGTGGGCACAAGCCATTCTTCCTGGAATTACCTCCATAGCAGGCCTCATATTCTTTTTATCATATAATAAACTTTAATCCCTTTGAATAATCTCTTGGAAAATTACAAAATCAGCAAAAGACTATTGCCCTTGAGTATGCAAAAGTTATAAACAATGATGAAGTAATCAATTGTAAATTTGCAGACATTCATCTTCATTTATGAAGCAAAAACACAGACTGGTAACATCCTTATTTCACATATATAAACTACATCCCTTGTTTATATATGTGAATATCCATAATTTAGAACAATACTTCATAGCTACTAAAAGAGAATCAATAAGACATGCATTTCTGACGAATCCAATTCAGAACATGCATAACAATTTCAAAAGTCTATATTTATCATATCAAATAACTACAGAGTGGCATCTATACCTCAATCAGATCTGCAGATATTATGAGCATAGATAAAATCTGACAAGTGGGTGATTCTAAGGACCACATTACATTCTAGTGCTATGGTCAAAATCTCAGCTACTATGATCCCAATATTAGCAGCAAAAGCAGAATGAAGGTTAATTTTTTCTGAATGCCTGAGTTTAGAAAACAAATAAGTTTCACAAATATTTCACTTTTAAGACTTAACTGTTAACAAAACCAAATAAAATATATATTACCTGAACAACTACATCCCATGAGTAAACTGATCTAGTGGCACACATGAGAGTAGCTATTATTGCATCAGTGGCAAACACATTTCCTTCAGATTTCGTCAGCTTTATCAAGAAAGTCAACAATTAAATATCAAATTTAATCTTTCAATAAAAAGGGGTAAGTCAATATTAAAATTGAATTTATAACAGAAAAACTAAATAAGAAATTACTATCAAGAGCACTACATATTAAGAAGCAGAGAAACAGAAAAATTTACCTGTCGAATAATAGGATCATCAGTAGTAGTTACTTTATGGAAAATCCTGTTAATTCTTTGCAGTTGTTTTTCTAATTTGCATGTTACTCTATCGTATGATTTATCGTAAAATTCAACAGCACCACATGTGTAACTGAAATAATTTTTTTTAAATAAATATTTCACATAAAAGGAAAAAATAAGTACATTAAATACTTAACTGCACTAGTGATTTTAAAATATTGATTACTGATTCAATGGAAGGTATTAAGAACTTTCAATATTTACACATCTTTCCCTTCATTCACACTTGGTAAAGAAAGTTTGCCCAATCTTGGAAAGTCCATTTCTTCTATGACTTGCCATTCTGGACGAACTGTTACTGATGCATCCCGATTCTTCACTGGTGCTTGTCCTTTATTATCAAATTTATGCCGCATCTGCTTCTGCCATTTACGCACTTGCTGGATACGATCTCTAAAATAAAAACAAAAGCCAAATATACATGAATTTTACCTTTAGAAACCTTCTGTTTATACTCAATTTCATATATACAGTTAAAAGTCTTTAATCCGGACGTCCATAATCCGGACCTCAAAGCTACAAACTTTCTGCGCATGTGTACACGAATAATAAGTTTACACATGTGCATAATACATTACACATGTGCGTTTAATGTATAATGGACGGTATAAGCTAAAATTATCTAATTAGGCTAAATATATCTAATTATCTATTTCAGTTAATGTTGCAGATTGCGTTGTTCCTTAATCTTCTAATTGGATCTGGCATTTTTTTTGCAGACGTACAGCAATTTTATAAAAAGTAAGCTTGACTTAACTTTCGATTATGTCAAAATTTCGGGAGCTGCCAAGCATCTACAAAGCGAAAGCATGTTTCGATGTACAGCTTCGATAGTGAAGAAAATGACAGACGGTTATTGAAAACGAAAAATTCGATTGCAAATTCGTCGGTTCTTGACAACGCAATTATAGGACTGAACAGGGAAACTTTGTAATTGAACAAAAATTATGTCTGTTTATAGAATTAAGAGAAGTATTAGTAATAAAACAAAGCAACTAAACAACTTACGTTGAAAGAAACGATTAACAAAGTAACAAATAATATTAGCTTTTTTTTTTTTTTGTAAATTTTTGATACCCTTTAGATCATAATTTCTCTTATTTATAAATTACGGTTCCATATTTTAATTTTATAATTTCTGCTGCATTTACCAAGATTTAAACTGGTGATCTATAATCTGGAAAAACCCGATAATCCAGAATCGCCGAAGTCCCGACGAGTCCAGATTAAAGACTTTTGACTGTATAAATAAAGAAGAAAATATATGTCATTCAGAAAGTTATAATTTGGCATTAGTTAAAAGAACTTAATATGAAAGCCTTACACTTCAAATTATTTTAGTAATTTTTTAACATTTAAGAAAGATTAATAAGCAAAAATTATTTAAATATGAATGATAATCATAATAACTACTACTGTAATTAAAATTTATATTTGTGCTCAATTTAAATTTTATATTTACCATTTTTAAGACATAACTGCCACACAAAGCTATAACTAGCTCCTTTCAATTATATAGTAATTATGCACTTCGCCATTCAATTAAAAAAAATTTCATAAATGGAGAGTATTACTTTTAAATTTTAAGATCACTAACTTTACTTGACCTTTAAAAATTAAGAGGGAGATAAATAAATCAAATAAAAACAAAATAATTCATAAAAGACTATTATTTTTAACTCACTAATTATTCTTAAACAGTTATAAATTAATAACAGTATACCTTTCACGTCCTTTTGCATTTTTTGACAGAATCTGCATTTGTTGCTGTTGAGCTTGTTTCATACGTTCACGATTACGCATATTTCTTTGCTGAAATTAAAATTTTATTTATAGAATGCATAATTTGAAAGTAATAGTATTAATCTATACTTTATATGAAATTACCAAACAAAAATAAAAAATTTGTTAATACTGAACAATATTTTTATGGGGCTAGTCAGCAAATATTTCAGTGAAACTCTTACTTCACATTAGAAAAAATAAAAGATTTTTGAACATCCTTATGGTAACTGAAACCAATTATAAAAGCTTGAGAATAAAATGTTAAATCATGGAAAGTACAAAAATTGTTATCAGAAGGGACATTAATTTCGGCACTGTAAGGATTTGTATAAGTACCTGAATGCTATTAAGTTGAATGCATTAAAGAAAACAATCAGTTAAGTTTAATTAAAAATAGAATGAGATAACTGCATTTTTACTGCTTATTATTAAGAAATTAAATTGTAAAGAATGGAGTTCCATGTTTAAGAATTAGCAAAACTTTGCTTGAAAAGTAAGTCTCAGCCCTAGTTCTGCTTATCTATTTTCTTTTAAGGTTAATAATCATGTACTTGATTATTTCTAATTGCAGCAAAATTTAGTCTATGAAATTTTCTTGCAACAGGTACAAATTTAATTATGTGCTTTAAAAAATAAATTTGTGAGCTTTACAAATATCGCTTTATTAAATAATAATTAAATTTGCATTTTACTAATTATAAATGAACTAATTCAGAAGTCAAACAACGAAAATCAGCGTTATATTTTCAAATTTTCACAGACTAGTTTCGATGGTTTACAACCACCATCGTCCTGCAAATGAATGATATAGGATATAATGATCAGATAGATAATAAAGCCTGGACCGAAATATCTAGTGTGCCATCTGTTGATGAAAAAGAACTAAAACACAATTTCTTTAAAGGCCGAAGGCAACTAGTCCTGTTAAAATTTGAAAATATAACGCTGATTTTCGTTGTTTGACTTCTGAATTAGTATTTGTTCGGCGAGTTATTGTATCTTAATTATAGTAATTGTATCTTAATTATACACTGTTTAATTTTTAACATATTTTTAAAAATAAAATGTATCTATGTATGGCCAACCAAGAATGCAGATTTTGGGTTTTAAAATTTGGTAGCAATTTTCCTGGCTAATGCTTCTGCATTTTTTCCCCTTGTAAAGAGCTACAATGGGAGTGTAGACTTTATCGGCTAATGAAAAAGAAAGTGCTGAAGCAGATAGCTGATAGTGTCTACTGGCTGTAAAAGTGTAAATATCATTTTGTTATTAAGTACTTCTTTTTATGATTATTATTATTATTAAAGGAATAAAATGCATACAAAGTAGCACAGTTGGCTAGCGTTTATTTATATCCAATGTTACATGATTATAGTGACCATTAGCTCAAAAGTAGTATATCAACTGCACTTGAGTGATCGTAATGACGACTTTTGCCAAACTTGTGCAATTCTTTATATATATATTTTTTTTACAATGAAGACAGGTCAATTTGTATATGGTGACAAAAGCAAGGAAAAATTAGATTTTTTTTTTATTTGTTTTCAATTTTGCTAATATGTTCCTGTTTTAGGAAATTCTTATAATGAGGTACCATTTTTAAAAATGGAGTTGTCTTTCACGTCTTAGATTGGCAAAAATTAGTCATGAATGTAAGGTAACTTTTCAGGTGGGTTGGATGATAAAAAAGTACCAACCTAATTCCCAAGTACTGCTTTAAAATTAGTTTTACAGAAAAATAATAAAATCTCAGTAGTAAGCTGCAATGTATTTTTCAGATAATGTCACAACTGAATGGAAAAAAAATAGTTTCAAAATTAATTTACTTAGTTTTTTATGCAAACAAAATTTGAATGATGTCTGCATACTTACCAACTGTGAAAAGGTTAATCGAGCAGTGGGCTCCAGTTTTAGTATAGGGAGTTTGGATGCTACAGGATTATTACAGAATCATTTTCCTCTGTTTCCCCATCTAGCTCCAACTCGTCTGCTCTGTGTTTCAACTGATGTATACTATTAGCTAATAACTTATTTTTAATTATTTTAAATTTCCCTTTGAGAATTAGTACAGGAACTTAGTATGTATTACTCATATGTTTTTATTTTTACTTTTAAATAAATACACAATCTCACATGATAATCTGTTGCATATATATTGAATATATTACTGAATCTACATCATTTATTACAACTGCTCTACATTTTCAAAGTACCAGCCCTTTTTGTTTTTAAACTATTGACATGATTGATTTTATTTGTTTCACATTAACAAAACACATTAATTTTAATCATATATTGTTCATAAATATTTAAGGCTACTAAGAACACATAAACATAACAAAATTACTTTATAAATAAACTTCAAATTTATCAAATTTGTAATGTGCATTATACTGGTTGAATCTTCATAAAAAGGTTTACTAATAAATACATAGATTAAGACAAAGAAAGATGAAGCTGAAAAAAAGCAGGGTTAGGAGCATGAAATTTGCACAATTTAAATTTTACTACTTCAACTGATTTTATTCATTTCAAGTAAATTTTCCCAAGTAAAAAGTAAAAATCATGATCTCCCGTTAAAACCGGAAGAGTTGCTATGTCACACCAATACTCTGATATTAATTCTTTCTAAATGTATACCTGGTTCATGCGGAAGCGACCTCGTTGATGCATAGGCTTATGAACACGCGTTGTATCTACAAGTTGGAATGTAGTTTCATCTTCTTCATGGAAATATGCATATTGGCTGCCAGCACCAAACTGAGACTGGTATTTATCTAAAAAAGTGTTTTTATTTTGTTAGTTAATTTTCGCAGTTGAATTAAAAATGGAAATACAATTAATATGCACATATATTAATACTAATAAAGTCTTACTGGCATATCTTCTGTCTTGATAAGTATTTCCTGTCCAATCAGCAACCTACATAAAAATTGCATTAAATACACATTCCTATCATTTCATATTAAAGGGATTTCTTTTAAAAACTGAGTAGTTATTGTTCATAGGAGAGAAATTACCTTCAGTGAAAACATAATCCCATAAATTTGTATAAAAGAAAAAAAGTAGTTTTCTACATTTATATTTATTAAAAACAGACTTTATTATTAATAATTAAAAATTAAAATGCCAAAAAATTCACATCCCAGAATAGTAATTTGCATATTGATTTTCATGATATCATAGTCTACATCAAACATGATACTATCATAAATTAAGGAATTACTATCATAAATTAAAGTTATCATAAATTAAGGAAAAATCACAAAAATCAAGATTACTGAAAAAAGTTACATGTAGAATTTTATGAAACTTACCCATAATATACACACATAGTCTATCAAATAATAAAATAAGTACCAGACAATATGGAGTACAGAAATTAGCACCTGCCAAAAGAACAAATCGAAGGTGTAATTTGCTATAGGAAAAGTACCTCAATAGGGAATAGGTCGCTCTAGAAGCAACACAGCACTACATGATGCGTGATGCTTTCAAATTTGCGTCTATCAGTTCAAGAAACGAGGCATTTCTATTGCAAAGCTTTGCAGTGCGAAAAGGGTCTGAGGGGCAGACTGATAACGTGACTCTCTCTAATCATCTCAAACGTGTCATAGGATCAGTCCGGGATCGAGCTGCACTCCAGCCTAATGTTTCATGTGAGATAATCACGTACGATGCGAGCCCTGTGTGGTCTGAGTTTCGTTCCGTAACAGGAAAACATACCTTTGCCCTAGCACAGTGGCACATAAGCATCAAGAAGTCATCCTATAAAGCGGAGCATTCATGGTTTCACTGAAAGACTGGAGATTGTGTCATCCACCAAGAGATACCACCCCAAACACAGACCTGCCTCTTCGTATACATCCTTTAATGGATATAACGGTTCAGTTCTCTCCATATCAATAACACCTACTATCACTTTCTAGACTAAACCGGACTCATCCGTAAAGAGAACAGTCCACTGATCAGCGTCCCAGTGGACATGTTGTCTGCCTCTGCAACGGTCCTCTAGGCATGACGTGAGCGTCACGCAAATGGCTTATAGTCTGCATACAGACCACTCCTGAAGCCTTCTACTCATTGAAATTGACAAAAAACCTTCCAGTGCTGGCAGCAAGGGAGGATCTAAGAAGATAGAGTACGTTCTATTCCTGCGTGCACATAATGTCAATCGGTCATGGCGCGCGTCTAGCAGTTAGTCCTTGGTGAACCTCCACGAGGTGAATCCGGGATTGAAGCGCCTCCAAGTCTATAAAAACAGAAGGACTCACATTTAGCCATTGGCCACTTCTTTGCTTATCCTGCTCTAGGCTCCCAATGGCCTCCAAGTAGTTCGCAGGCAAAGATGCCTAGAGTCAGTGTAAGAATTGGCTATCTCAGATTTCTAATGCCAAATCACAGTGAAATGTGGGCTTGCTCTCAAAATGGACTTTAATCTTCTCGCAGATGACGTATTCGATGCAGCCCATAATTGCACATGCAGTTTATCAGCTACTCTACTTGGAACATATTCAATTTCAAGGTGCTTATTTGAGGATTATCGCTATTTTGTGATTTTTCCTTAATTTATGATAACCAGTGTATCTGAATGTTACTCCCCTCCCTTGAAAATAAGTAAAATAAACATTAACATAAAAGACCAATAACCATTACCACAAATGACCGGCAAGCACTTAGTTAATATACAATACAGCAAATTTAAACAACAGTTCATTTGGCGAAATATATCAAACCTTTCCCGAAAAATTTATTGAATAGCATTCGTTTTACATAAAATGAATTGAATGAATATGTATGGCAAACTCATGTTTTTCTATCATACAATACAAATGTTAGCTGATTCTTTAAAAAACATAAATGCACAAAGCTGCTAATTACCATGTTTGATATATAAAGAGAAATTAGGATCTAATTCCTTAAATAAATTTTCTTAATACTTCAAACTATTTTTTTAACGAACAATATTTATCTAAAGGCATTGCAGACAAAGGTAAAATCCTAGTATACAGTGCAGCCTTGGTGCGATTTTGAAAATTATTGCCAACACCAAACATGATCCAAAGAATGTCTATATATATATATACTATACACTAATACATAGTATATACTAATGTAATAACTATCTATTTTCTTCTTTGAATGACCCGTTTACTACTCATCGTATAAGCTCCGTTTTTACTGCTCATCATAGAGTCGCCAAAAGTAGCCAAATCCCGTGTGCACCGGATACTAGGATTAAACTCAGACAAAAATTTGGGGAAAGTGCAGATTCACCCACTGCTTGGCGCGTTTTTAAGAATTGCACATACTCGGTATCCATGTACACGTCGACCTATTTTCACTTAAAAAACATCTTAGAATTGCACAAAAATGGCATTGCGCACTCTCATGACTTTATCCATGTACACATCGACTTATTTTCAAAGACAAGTGACAAAAATCCAATTCTTCTTACTAAAGCGCCAAACAAATAAGTGGACACCATTCTGCACTTTAGCCAAAAATTTAATGTCCGAAGATTTCTAAAAAACTGCATACCGACTGCTCTACAAAACATTACAACATGAATATTCATTAGAATGAAAATATAATTTCGTCAACAGATTTGCTTAACATAACATTAAGTATCTTTTAAGAAATAAAAAGTTTAAGATGCCTACTCTGGACGTTCAATATGCTGGAAGGAAATTTTGATTGACCTCGACGGGGGGAGAGTACATTTTATTATAGTATACTTGTGAATAATTATGTGTAACAATTTCCTGTCGAAATAACAGAAAATTCACTTCGAAATGGGTTAACATTTAATTTATGTATAAATATTTTAACTTATATATTAGGCTTCACTGTACCTTTCCTAAACGATCGTTTTTGGAAAACTGCTGGTAAGGCATATCTTTGAACTGATCCGGCAAAGTACACGGTCCCCATCCTGTTGGATTATCTTGTAACTGAGGAGGAACAAAATGATATTCAAATTCTGTCATTATTACAAAGGTTATTTTCACACATTAAATATGCCGTATGCTGGATGCCAACCGTATGCTTTTGAAGTTGAAGTAGTAGTCTTTTAGGGTTTACCCCATGCTGTCCTTGTTGCAATTAATAAATCAATATTTTGGACAACTTTTAATAGAAAGAGAAAAAATATAAATTAATTAAAAGGGAAAAATATAAAATATAATTTAATAAAAACACATAAATATTATTGCATAATTTTAATTTTTATATATATTTTTTTTTATTTTAACAGTTACTTGAAGAGGACTAATGTCCTAACCGTGTAACCTATATTGGATTATGGGTAATGTCAACAACGCATTTTCAGCATATAGACATTGCGTGCACATTAAGCGGTGTGTTTCGGGTAGCCATTTTTGTGAAGTAATTGTGTAAACACGTCGTAAACTAAGCTATATTACGCACAGTTATGTCTGGCGTGCAAACAGCAGATAATGACGCATGGGCTTTATTATCCCTTAACTCAGCACCATCTAGCCCCTCTAAAGTTTTATGGAGCCCGGAACCTAATGCTGCCGCTATTGCCAGGTTAGAAGGCAGGGAATTTGAGTATATGATTAGACAGAACCGAATCAGTATAGGTCGAAATAGTAGCCGAGGTGAAGTGGATGTGAATATGGGACATTCCAGTTTTATATCCAGAAAACATCTGGAAATATATTTTGAGAGCCCAAACTTTTACATGATTTGTAACGGCAAAAACGGGGTTTTTGTTGATGGAGTTTTCCAACGGAAAGGAGCTCCTCCACTGCAGTTGCCAAGAACGTAAGTACTTAAAGTCTTGACCAAACTTGTAGCAGTTTTTCTTAAATATGTAGCGAAATAGATGTTAAATAATGCGTGCAACTTAAGTTAAATATTTATAGATCCCCACAGTCACGTGATAATGAACAAATCAAACTTGCCGGCAACTGCAGACTGACCGCTCTGAAAAGAAAAAAATGTCATAGAAATTTTGGTACTTGAACGTTTAAATAAAATATCATCAATGTGTACTATAACTGGGTAAAAGAAGAGGTTAATAATAATGTGCGAAATATTTTTGAGACAAACTACAACTAACTGCGCTAGTCATTTCGTATCGGAATTTCTATAAATAATTACCATATTTTTAAATAGGTTGGAATAATTTTGAATTAACCTTTTATTAAATCCTGAAGGTTATTAGAAAAGGACAAAGAACGAGAAATGAAGAGTTTATAGAAAATGTAATATAATATATTGGCGCGTTGAATTTTTTCTGTATTAAATATCCAACATGAAAAAGATCTTGTGGATGTAATTTTGTAAAAAATACAAATTGAAGGTCTCATGCATTTTCATTTACTCAATAAAGTGTTTTAAATTTACATCTTCGGTAGTAGTTCAGTTTTAACAGTGTAGTGTATAAATGCATAAAAATGAATTTTGTTTGTCATCTGTTAACATAAAAGCAAATACTATAAAATGTGCTGGGCGACATATGCATGTTAGATCTTTATCCAGCTAACCCCCCCCCAGAAAAAACACTTTCACGTGATGCCATGGAGTAAGATTATTTTCGCGACTCTTGCCTTAGGGCTTTGGTTAATTAATTAAAGAGATGATATTATATATACACATTAAATTTAATTCTTTTAATAAATGTTGTATATTTTAATAACATTATGTGTTTATTTTATTTGAATTTAATATTATGAATATTGGATGGTTCCTCAAGACTGAATGATTATTTTTGTTTTGCATGTTATTGTATGTAAACTTATTATAAGCTAAAATAAAATATATCATATTCATAAAATGATAAAATATTCATATAACATCTTCAGAATTATTGGTTAGCTTCAGCAAAGAGCCTTTTAAAGATTTGTTGTTTTTGTTAAAAATGCTCTGTAGATCGGGATTATATCAAATAGCCTGCTTATAATATCCGCTTCTATCTGTGAGGTACTAATTTAATTATTAAATCAAGATTGTATGATATATTATGCATGTATTATACAAGGAGTTCCCAAAATTATGCCCGCGGGTGCCATGGCGCGCACCGATTGTTCGATTGTTTAATGTGTGCCCGTTGACGTGCGATCACGATAAAAATGTTTTAGTTTTTGACAAAATTCTATTTGAAAGTTTTCTCATTTTTAATGAAATGGAAATTGCTTCCAACACAGATACCAGCACAAAGTGAAATGCAACTGTGGGTATAGTAAAGAATCGCCCACTTATTTGGCACTTTTTACAAGAGGATTTAAGAAAAATTGGATTTGGTTGATCTTTACATTATGGTAACTTGGCGTTTTTATGGCGAAAATTTGGCGACCAACTCTCCTACAGCAACCCTCTATTTTTTTTCCCCGCCGCCATTTTGTCTTCACGAAGTAAAGACATGTTTTCTTTTCTTTTATCTACTGAACACTTCTTCCAACAATCTACTAGCCGAATTACACTTATGCTAGAAATTTTATCTAACAAAACTGCTTAATCATGACAAATATTCACTGCAAAATTGGGAAAAAGTGCACAATACCAAACTCCTTACGCGTTTTTCAAAATAACACATACACATAAACCATGTACACGTCGACTTATTTTTACTTAAAAAAACATCCCCAGAATTGCACAAAAATGGCATTGCGCACACTCTTCACTATATCCATGTACACTGCTTTTTTTCTCATAAATTAGAAAAATTTCACGAAAATACATGGACAATTTTCTCAATCTTTAAACTCGGTAAAAAGCACATATATGAAATTACCTGATCGCGAAAAAGTATATACCCTTTCCAAGGATATGAACATTTCCACATATAAAATAAATAAAATATCCAAAAACTTTTACCTCTAAATTATCTATTATATTATACACGTCACCAACGAATTCATACCGCAAAGCATTACAAATACTTAGTGTCAAATATTTAAATTATTTCCATGCACGTTTACTTCAACTTAAACGTATACCAAATTCCTACAAACATAAAATTCACAAAATAACTATCATTTAATTAAAATATCACTAAAACATGTACACGTCGACTTATTTTTACTTAAAAAAACATCCCAGAATTGCACAAAAAATGGCATTGCGCACACTCTTCACTATATCCATGTACACTGCTTTTTTCTCATAAATTAGAAAAATTTCACGAAAATACATGACAATTTTCTCAATCTTTAAACCCGGTAAAAAGAACATATATGAAATTACCTGATCGCGAAAAAGTATTTACCCTTTCCAAATATGAACATTTCCACATATAAAATAAATAAAATATCCAAAAACTTTTACCTCTAAATCATCTATTACATTATACACCTCACCAACGAATTCATACCGCAAGCATTACAAATACTTAGTGTCAAATATTTAAATTATTTCCATGCACGTTTACTTCAACTAAAACGTATACCAAATTCCTACAAACATAAAATTCACAAAATAACTATCATTTAATTAAAATATAATTAAATTCAAAAACACTACTTAAATATAAATGAGCACATACATTAAATTAATACATACATAAATACCCATTTCGAATTCACTTTAGTTACGGCCATGGGATCCAAAAATTCACGAACACTGTTTCACACAACACAGAATAAAGCCAAATACAAAATTTCCAGATTTTTTCCCGATTTCCCCCCTTTTCCGATTAAAAAACCGTAATTCGTCCATTAATATCACATGACGTATCCCATGATCTCTCATTTCCCTCGCACAAAATAATGCGTAATCGGAACTGAGTACTGCTCACATTATTACCAAAGTCCCAGGTACCTTACCTTTATCGCCTTCAAAATGTCGCCAAACTACGAGTTACCATATTGTAAAGATCAACCGTGGATGTTTTTGTCAATTTTCTTTGACTTTTTTAGCGAAAATAGGTCGATGTGTACATGGATAAAGGGAGTGCGCAATGCCATTTTTGTGCAATTCTGGAATGTTTTTTTAAGTGAAAATGGGTCGATTTGTACATGGATACCGAGTATGTGCAATTCTTAAAAACGTGCCAAGCAGTGGCTGATTCTGCACTTTCCCTGCAACTGTTTTATGTGCATGTATTAACTTTATTTAACCATAAATTCACCTTGAAAAAGTAAATGGTGCCCGCTGTCCAACAGATATTCTAGAATGTGCATTTAGGGACAAAAAAAAGTTAGGGGACCCCTGTATTATACAATATATTACTATTCTGCCTATATGCATAGTGTTCCGGTTCTGTTTAAGAAGAGCATCAGAGACTTGTATGAACTTAACATCATTACCTTTGATGATTTTTGGCAGTACATGGAACTGACTTTGTGCAATTCTTTGACTGCCAAAAATTGCCATTACACAAATCCAAAATAACAAGTCAAAGAATTGTACAGACTCTGTATCCATGTGCACATCGACCTATTTTCACTTAAAAAAAATCTGATGTGTACACCACATGACTTCCTTGTACCGAATATTAAATTATATGCATTTTGTTTAAACTTATTGGATTTAATTAATCTACTCGCCACCGCGCATAACCACAATAAATAATGCATTCTTTAAATTAACTATTTGTTTACCTAAGCGACACTTTGTGCAGGTCACTTAACATATTATATTTCTTCATATTATTACTCAGAAGCACAAATTTATCATTTAAAGAATTATCTAAATCGTTGCCACTGTTTTAATTCAAATACTTTAATAAAGCTTAAAACAATGTTGTAAAGAATTAAGCTACAAAACAAAAAAAAACCGTTTTTCAAAACGATTGATATTTTCTCATTCAGTTAATTCAGTTTCTCACTTCACGACAAGGCAAAAAATCATAAAAACTCAAAATACTGTATTAAAAATTACTATTATAAAAAAATGGGTAAATCTTAAACCTTTTCCTCCTCGAAAAATTCCAGAAAAGGATAAAGCATTTTTAATTCGCAATAATAATGAAGGCGTTATCTTAGTTGTTGCAAAGCTATGTTTCTCTAGATGGGCAAAATCCACTACTTTGCTGTTTCAAATGTAAACAAGCAATGGCCGCCATCAAAAAATTTCTTAGGCTTAGCGGCACTTAAAACAACTTTAAAATTGTTGATAATTCTAAAAATATTGCATACAGATTTACTAAAGGCATAAAAACCTTACCGAAAGATAAGGGCAACATAATTCAATCATTTTTTAAAGCAAAAGTACAATTTACAAACATATAAGCGTAAGAAATGAGATCACTGAGCCGGGTAACGAGTGGATATATATATAAATGTATGGTAAAAGTATAGTTTAGGGTACCCCTTGCAAAACGTGCGGATTTTTGGCGGTACATGGAAACCGATTTTGTGCAATTCTTTGACTTGTTATTTTGGCTTGCGAAGCGGCGATTTTTTGCGCCAAAAATCGAAGCTACACAAAGTGAAAATAACAAGACAAACAATTGCACAAACTCGGTATCAATGTACATATCCACTTATTTTCACTTAAAAAAAAAATCCCGAATTGCACAAAAATGGCACTGTGCACTCCTTTGACTTTATCCATGTACACATTGATATGTTTCCACTTAAAAAGACAAAGGAGCACCCAATTCTACAATATAGGCAATCAAAAAATACATAATCTCAATAAAATACATTTTAAACCAAACAATAAAATTACATAAAAAAGGAAAAATGTGTTATATATTTAAGCACTACCAAAAGCAAATATTCACTTACCATGATTTTTGAGTTCGCTTCATACGCCGAGAGCCACGTAAAAATCAAAATCTCAATCACTCAAGTGACTTTTTTTTCAAACCAGGTACT